GAAAAAAAGCATTCGGTCCATGCTTTGGTAGTTTTTGTTTATAAACAAAATCCATACATAAATCACAAGTAGTATTGGTATCTGGCAATTAATGTTAGACTGTGTCTCGGAGGGGAGACATCATGGACCAAACAGCTATGGTAAATAAAGGAAACTAAACAGGCGAGGCGTGTCTGCACTATGTGTAGCATTCGTGAAATTTATTTTAAATAGTGAAAAAACATAACATCGAGTTCAATGCTCGTTATCCAAAGTACCTTACATTGCCTGGATTTGATTCAGATCGTGTTGTCGATGAACAGAACTTGCTTACTCTTTCATTACACATGGCCTGTTTTCCTATTTTGCTGGAAAGTGTTTTTTTTTTTATAGTATTCCTAAAGCCAAGATTAAAAACAGATTGGTCGAATTTCTGGTTACAACACCTTATTTGAGTTTGGTGATAAAATCTTCTAACATATTATTGACATAACTTTGGGAAAATACCATGCTAACTCCTGGTTGACCTATTAAAGCAGATTAAATTCATTGAACAGTTTATCAAAACATGCAGGATCGACCTTGCTAAATCCTTCATTTTCATGTCAAGTATATCGATAATGGCCTGTCTTTCAACGACGAGAATGTAATGGCTGTTCCCATTGAATGTGTCCACATGAACTGAAAATCAATGACAGAATTTTCTACTTCACCCGATTATCTCGATATTTTCCTTCAATGCAAACAATGGGGATAGCTTTCTATATATCTAAGGTTTTCAAATTATCTATTGTTGATTATTGAGAAAGTGACAACCTTGCTTTTCAAACAACTGTGTTCCCAATTTTATCAAAATATTTGAATATAAACCTTACATATCTTATACCAATTACGAAATAAGGTATCCAACTTAAAATTTTTATTTCACTCTTATTGAACCGGGTAGGTGCGTGCGATGTACTGTGGGAGAAAGCCGGAGTACCCTGGGGAAACACACATGGTCGACCCCTTATCTTTTTTATATACGTTCGGAGAATCGAACATCGGAATTACCACTGCGCCACCCGGTCATCCTATTAAGTATATTTATCAAGATCACGATTGCCACGGTTGTGGAAAGTTCGTGGTTGCCATTATGATATCATTGGGAAGTATTTGATTTTTAAGCGAAAAGAAATTAGACATTCAATTTTCGTGACAATGTAATACACTCAATTATGTTTATCTTGTTTCGTTGTTTTAAATTCTTTTCGCGTTAGTGAACGTGTCATAACAGAACTTGTTAGCGATACCAAAAGCCTAAACTTTGAAGTCTAGGAGGCCATTGATTTGCTCCGACCTCTAGGTGTTTCAGAAGGGTAAGCGTCTTCCGCTTTATCAACGACAGCCGCCTTGTAAAATTTGGTCAATCTTAGTAAGTTTAATGTGAATTACCAGATAGTAAGGTTGTAACGCTGGTGATATCCTCTGTTCACGGTAATATTGTCTCTCATGTGTTGATTGCTTAGAGTCTATATCTATATTTATATATTTGTTTAGCTGTTTATATAACATTAAGTTATAGTTATAGAAATATACGCTGACTTGAAGATGTTTAGGTTTTTTTTTATTATATAACATAAACAATACCTCAACACTACGTTTTACATTCAGCTGAAAAACATGACGTTAGCATCCAGATCCCATCGGTCCATACTTTTTGTACTGAAAGCTGTTTCGTGTATAATTAAGAAATTCATCTAGAAATAGTTACCATCTTGTAACTAGGTAGCTGGCAACCACGTTTTAACACGAACAACTTTCGTTTATCATAAATTTTGGACTTCAATCATATTTTTGGTATTAAAATGTATGCTGGGGTATAAACATGTTATATTTATATATTTTAATTGTCTCCACTGATTAGTTTCTGCTTAAATGATGTAGTCCATCACGGAACACACACGACTTGTCTGTCTACAGAACATTAACACCCATAAACAATAGTGCCATATGTTTTAAGGTAGCCCGGAAGTTTCAGATTACTGTTGAAGTGGAGGCTCTATCTGTAAACACCCCTTGTGTTCTCATAAACATAGAATTATTGAGCAAGGTATAGTTAATACAAGAGGAATGGGATATTATTGGCACGTTCCCCTGTCACAACACAACCTTTGATTAGACTGGAGAATACGCTACACAGTGGAGTACTCAGCACCTAATCGGCAGAGTTAATACTTGCACGCCTCTGCCTTTCTCTGTGTGAAGTTAGAGAGAGTGGTTATATCATTGGACAAGCAATAGAGATTTTAATTGATTTGATTTACACTTGAGGTCTTAATTTGTTTTTCTGCCACGAAGACTGAAAACAGATCTGCGTTAGTTTATTGTGACAATTGAAGCCTTGGATTTCCGGGGGTTGGGTTTAACACGCGTTGATTACGTTTTGACAATACCAACCTGAGGAACATGACGCTATTTTCTTTGTATTTCTTAAACATCAATATCAAAAACATGTTTACTTCTGAAGTAAGTCTCTAGATTGTTGATTTATTTTGCCTTTGGTTTACGCTATTGTACTTGTCATGGCTTGCTTTCTGTCAGACATGGCTGTAATGAAATATTTTCCCCAATTGATTAAAGTGACATCACGGTAAAACGATTTTAATTGTTTTTTTATACGCCCCCGGATCGAAAGATCTTTGGCATATTGTTTTCTGCAGTCTGGTTGTCTGTTGTTAACTTTAATCTTGCACCGTAAAATGTAGGCCTTTCATATTTGGCATGTGTAAACTTGTGGCAATACCTTGCTGATGGCTCCAAAACTTTTGACCATGTGACATTGACTGTGACCTTTGACATACATTTGTGATTTGGCCATAACTATTGCACCAAAGAGGTAGGACTTTCATATTTGGCATGTGTTTTCCTTGTGACAAGGCCTTTCTGGCGGTACCAAACTTCCCCCCGTGGTTTTCGCTGAAATACGCACATAAAAGAAGTTAATTGATAACTATGAAAGAGAAATCCTGATCTGTTGATCAACAGTCTGGATATGCGAATATTTGCGTCCTATATGATAACGCATGCGCACAAAACACCGTTGTCTGTAAACTAAAAATAAAGTCACTTATTTCATAATTCTGAATTTACGTATTATCATTGTTGAGTTATCAAGTAATACTTGCCACACTCATGATAAACTTCGGAGCTGAAAAACAAGATTTTACTTACTAAGTCACAACTGTTGCTGTCATTTCTGCCCGCCACCATGTGTTCGTATTCACAAAATGAACTGCCTCGCTTTCAAAACTATTACTTAAAGTTATCAGTGCTAAACTCAAGAGGGTTTTCCGAAGAAGTGGTCAAGCTGGACATTGGAAATCGGCCATATGTATGGGGATATCATATAAACGTAAGATACATAAAACACGTAGAAACAGTAACAAAATTAATGTTTTACCGCAGTTACATCATATTTGATCCTAGTGTATCTAAAAAGGTAGTCATACTATTTATGGAAAACGACAATTATTCCGTATATATACACAAAATTTAATATGTCTGATACATTTTGATATCTTAATTGGTTCTGTTACCGGGAGTGAAGATGTCATAGGCCTTTATCATTACTGTTTACGTTTATTGTAAAACTATATATTTGTGTACTTTATGGTTATTGGTATCAACAATATATCGCTGTTTAATGAGAATTGTTGACGTAAGATGTAGTCATGTTTAATAAGAGGCTGTAATAATAGAAAATCATACGTAACTGCCATCAAATTCTGATTCTAAAATGGAACTCCTCATTAATTTCTTCTATAACAGTAGGCCCTTTTATCTTAATCTCCCTCAGGTGATATCAATTCCACTGTTAAGTGTGTTTAGAAGAACGATTTACGACTGGGTTTAATACTCTGTCATGCTGAAATGTTTAAGACTATGGACGGAAGTCTCCACAGCTTCCCAAGACAGGCACCACGCGACTCGTATTACATTCGATATTTTAAGGATGCACTATTTTTTTATATAAGGTAAATTTCGAATCAATGTTATTTCTTCAACCATTAAAAGATAACTAGGAAACTAGTGACGTATTAGGGAATACAGGCAAGTGGCAATTTAATCTGCGAAATCACAAACCAAGATTTATGTCTTGTGTTACCGCGTTTTAGCGACGGCTGTATAAAACATTAATGCATTTCCATTATTTACAGCATATTGATTACCGATTAATTTATTTGGACAATCTAATCTGTCTCGTAAGATATATTGATTTGTACCGAATAAAAAGACTTCTCCGTTTGATTAGCTCTGTAATTATAAACCATTAGTCTTTCACTGCTGCCGAAATATTAGCCTTATGTTGAATCTCCACACGGCTATGTAGATTTAACTTTAAATACCTTTTACGAGCTGACATTTTACTACACTTGGTAGGATTAGTGTGTGGGTACTTTTATAAGACAAATGATTTGTTTATAACCTAATTTAACTGTGTTGCTTGATTCACCCAGTGTACTGGTATCTATTTTATTTAAATGGTAAGATCAGTCTGCAAGTTTAAATAAACCCTATGACTTTAATATGGGTGTGACACATCAGGGTACAGGATACAGTGTTACCTCACAACCCACCGATATCTATTTCGTATTTATTGGTCTTTGTATAAAAGTGTGAAATGTTTTTACACGTGAAGGTACACACACTGTCATCAGGAGACAGTGGAACAGCTCACACCTCTGTTCATGAATCAGGGCTACCAGCTGTGATAAGTAATGTACTATATCAAAGTGACATAGTTATTAACGTAATATATTTCTAAATGTAAAATCTATCACCATGATTTCCTTATATTGTATTACATCTACGTTTGCTAAATAATGAAAACCACGTGTTTTGTGAAATGTCAATAAAATATCATTGGATGTCCTATGTGTAATGATAAATTGATTTATAATACAAACCATGATACGAACAGTGCTTATTTCGTGTAATTGATTGAAGATCTAAATAATATGTAAATCTCTCTTTCACAGATGACGTCACACAACTCGTCGACCTCGTTTTCATACATGTACTACGATAATGAAGAGTATAATCAGACCCTACTGGAGCTGCTGCAGCAACACGAAAAAGAGTCACCGCGAGCTTTCATCTTCGCGGTGTTGATGACAGTCCTGTCGGCTATATTTAACACCGGCATTATTATCGTTATCCTGTATACGCCAAGCTTGCGTCAGAACATTCTCTACATTCAGATTGTCAACATATCCGTGGTCAATATAATTCTAAGTGTGTTTGTAATCCCGTTGGCCATTTACGCCGAACACCGGCCATGGAGACTCGGAGACGTCATGTGTAAAGTCTGGATCATAACAGACGTACTTATGCCCTTCGTTTCCATGGTAGTGCTTGTTCTGATGAATCTTGATCGTTTGTTCATTCTAATGTGCAACAAGTCACACAAGTGGACCATGAATGGCCTGGCGAAGGCGTTCCTTGTGCTGTTACCTTGGTCGGCTGGCTGTGCGATCGTGCTGCCTATTTGGATACTTGGTTCTAACCACTATCCTTATTATGATGGCTACTGTATATTCGGTTTGGTGTTCGATGCCTCCGTTGCTTCACCAGTGATAACTTATTTTGTGCCGTCGGTGGGCATCATTCTACTTATCACGCTGATTCTGATGTACAACTTTAAAGGGAATTTAGCCGAACAGAATCTGTACTCGTCTCCTTCTCGGTCCATGGACTGTCAACGTCCAGAATCGACCTCTAGTTACGACGAGGAAAAATACCTGTCTCTGGTCACACTGTGTTTAGCCGATTTTTTCTTTATAGCAATGTGGTTTCCATATCAATTGTTCACTTTACTTATGTCCCTTTGTACGGGATGCTATCCGCCGGTGAGCGCTGCAGTCGCTTTCACGTGGCTCGGAGCGTCTACAGCGTGTGTGACACCTCTCACTTGGTTGTCAGATGTACAGATACGGGAAAGTATTAGGACTTTTGTACACGATAGATGTACTCGAGAGGTTAGTGATATGAATGACAGAAACAACGTTCCTTTAATGGAGCTTTAGGAAAGCTTACACCTACTTCCTGTGTTGTTGGAGGAAGTTTTGTATTAAAACCGATAGTTTCTTCCAAATTCAATACCTATTTGTTATGTTTGTGCATTTAACCTTGTTTAAAATTGCTTGCACAGTCAGAGAATAATGACGTCACGGATATGTGTGTATTCTATAAACGGAAGTGTGATTTGTTCTGGTGCCGTTCCCTATTTCTGGTATCATTTAAAGTTTACTGATTCTGTTTTAGACGGTAATATTCGTCGGTATAAGGAAAGTATGCCCCATATCATTACGAATGAATAGTGGTATATGTCAGGAAATGTTTTATACCAAGTTGACGATAAAGATTATTTAATATCAGACAGGCGGTTATCAATTTATATATAATAATGTTATTATTTCAAAGCATTCCATCCTACCCATGCATTTGTGTACGATTGTGTTAGTCGGATGAATCACGTTAACAACAACAGCAAGAAAATACCAATATGTGGACACAGTCATAGCCCAAACTCAAATTCAATAAAAATAAGGCAAAGCATTATCACAAGAGAGATGGAAACAGAGACTCCGTGAAAAGTACATGGACAGTAAGACCATGCATTCTGAAAGAGAAAGCGTGTTCTGCTTCTACAACAATGGAACCAACAGACACACTAACGAACATCAAACATGTCCAATTCGATCTCGAAAAGTAGAATATTTCTCAACTAGATCACTATGACGACCGTAAATCAGCTGTGACATCTAAACACCATAGGCTGGAACCTTCATACACGTTTACGGATATATAAGGACAATTTCAATTCTTGTCTACCGAGACATACATTTCAAGGCGTCGAAATGGCGTCATTTCACGTTATATATTTAATATTGTCGTTTTTAGGGGTATTTGTAATCCTTATCATCAACATAATAATGTCACGTGGTTATAGTATAAACCATGAGGACTGCTGATTACCTTAGAAATGCATACAAGTAGAAACATTTAATTATCTAAACACAAATCACCAGTCCTATGATAGATTCGATATGTTTTGAGTCACTAAGAGAGAGGACTGTCATACTGAGATAGATAAAGACTTTTACGGAGCGCTACCTGCAGGTACAAAATGAGGACACCAGATTACAGACTGGAATCCCTGTAAAGTACATTAATGGTGAAAACATAATGAATGTCTCTGTTATATGTAACTCATCTCTCTAAGTACCGAATGCATACATAATTAGTGAGAGTAAGTATTTATTGAATATATGAGAGACTGTGTGGTATCTGACACAATAGCTGTAAGTAGGTATTGAATATATGAGATACTGTGTGATATCTGACACAGTAGCTGTAAGTAGGTATTGAATATATGAGTGACTGTGTGATATCTGACACAATAGCTGTAAATAGTTATTGAATATATGGGTGACTGTGTGATATCTGACACAATAGCTGTAAGTATTGAATATTTGGTGACTGTGTGATATCTGACACAATAGCTGTAAGTATTGAATATTTGGTGACTGTGTGATATCTGACACTATGACTGTAAGTAGTTATTGAATATATGGGTGACTGTGAGATATCGGACACAATAGCTGTAAGTATTGAATATTTGGTGACTGTGTGATATCTGACACAATAGCTGTAAGTAGGTATTGAATATATGAGTGACTGTGTGATATATATTTGTGACCTATTTCTGTAGGTACTATATATTTGTGACCTATTGCTGTAGGTACTATATATTTGTGACCTATTTCTGTAGGTACTATATATTTGTGACCTATTTCTGTAGGTACTATATATTTGTGACCTATTGCTGTAGGTACTATATATTTGTGACCTATTGCTGTAGGTACTATATGTTTGTGACATATTTCTGTAGGTACTATATATTCGTGACCTATTTCTGTAGGTACTATATATTTGTGACCTATTTTAGTAGGTACCTATTTGTGACCTATTTTTGTAGGTACCTAATGAATATACCGTATATTGGGATATCTTGCGTTGTGAAATTTTTGCGAAAATACCAAAAATGTAACTTTTGCTATTTCCGTTTTTTTATTTTTTTTTTCGATTTTCTCACAATTTTGTATCACTAATGCGTTTATGATAAAAGAAGAAACATGCAAATTTTACGATTTTGTTTTTCTGCGATTTCGAAAGAGTCGGTAACTTCGATATAGGGTATGACGAGTGACTGAGGAATACCTGTGACGAAATATATGTAGGTACTAGATGGATATATAACGAGTGACTGTAATATCTGTGACGTAATTTCTGAAAGTAATGGTTAATGTAGATGAAAGACTACACTGCGTTGATATGATTAAGTAATTAAGCGCGTGCCATAGCAATGTTTGTAGAATAAAGTGATACGGAGAGGTAATGAGAGACACGGACAAGTACTTTTTACGTGTGACTGTCTGTGCTGAATGCACTTGATACGCATGAATGACGTGTTTGTGTGTAATGTATATCAACAATGCACGTATGTTTGTAATAATGATGGTTTGTGCAAAGTATTACGACCAATAACACTTGTTAGGTGATGTTCTGTACATATGTACCCTTGTACACACATAAAGACGTGCATTCATAAGTAAGATACATATGTATGCATAATGTAGTGTGATTACATGACATAATTCAGTGTGATTACATGACATAATTCAGTGTGATTACATGACATAATTTAGTGTTATTACATGACATAATTTAGTGTGATTACATGACATAATTCAGTGTGATTACATGACATAATTTAGTGTTATTACATGACATAATTTAGTGTGATTACATGACATAATTCAGTGTGATTACATGACATAATTTAGTGATTACATGACATGATTTAGTGTGATTACATGACATAATTTAGTGTGATTACATTACATGATTACATAATTTAGTGTGTGATTACATGACATAATTATAGTGTGATTACATGACATGACATAATTCAGTGTGATTACAGTGTGATTACATGACATAATTTAGTGTGATTACATGACATAATTCAGTGTGATTACATGACGTAATTTAGTGATTACATGACATGATTTAGTGTGATTACATTAATTCAGTCTGATTATATGCATAATTCGATGTGATTACATGACATAATTCGATGTGATTACATGACATAATTCAGTGTGATTACATGACATAATTTAGTGTTATTACATGACATAATTTAGTGTGATTACATGACATAATTCAGTGTGATTACATGACGTAATTTAGTGATTACATGACATGATTTAGTGTGATTACATGGCGTAATTCAGTCTGATTATATGCATAATTCGATGTGATTACATGACATAATTCGATGTGATTACATGACATAATTCAGTGTGATTACATGACATAATTTAGTGTTATTACATGACATAATTTAGTGTGATTACATGACATAATTTAGTGTGATTACATGACATAATTCAGTGTGATTACATGACATAATCGGTGAGAAATGTGATATCAATTTGGACATTTGTCGAATCCCGGTGTAAATAGTTCCCCGTGAAGGTTGTAGGCCAGCTGATGTTACAATAGTTCCCCGTGAAGGTTGGAGACTAGCTGATGTGACAATAATTCCCCGTGAAGGTTGGAGACCAGCTAATGTGACAATAGTTCCCCGTGAAGGTTGGAGACCAGCTAATGTGACAATGTGTTTGTAGTAGTCTATTCTTCAATGACATTGAACAACGATCTCTTTTGTGAATAACTATATAATGATAACGTAATTGTGAACAGTGAGAGTGAAATTTTACTCAAAATAAACAGAAAAGTGATATAAACCACATCTTGAAATGATATCTAATAACGTGTACATAATTTGATACATCTCTCTCTCTCTCTCTCTCTCTCTCTCTGTCTCTCTCTCTCTCTCTATTTCCATTCTATATTATCTTGAAAGAACTTTCTGCTGCCAAAGCAACTTCAGATTCACATAACTCTAGAGCGCGATAGTTTTCTCTGTTTAAATTATTCAAGGGGTTGTGTTAAGTGTGCGCTTATTTCAAGTCCGAAAAAAACTCGTTAGCATCACTTGAGAACTAAATGGGGCTTATAAACATTGTTGAGAATTAAATGGGATTTGCCAACATCGGTTGAGAATGAAATGGAATTTGCCAACATCGGTTGAGAATTAAATAGGATTTGTTAACATCGGTTGAGAATTAAATGGGATTTGTAAAAATCTGTTGAGAATAAAATAGGATTAGTTAACATCGGTTGAGAATTAAATGGGATTAGTTAACATCGGTTGAGAATTAAATGGGATTTGTAATCATCGGTTGAGAATTAAATGGAATTTGCCAACATCGGTTGAGAATTAAATGGGATTTGTAAACATCGGTTGAGAATTAAATGGGATTTGTAAACATCGGTTGAGAATTAAATGGGATTTGTATACATCTTCAAGGAACTAAATGGGACATGTAAACATCAAAGAACTGAATGGAGTTTGTAAACGATAATTGAGAGTTAAATGGGATTTGTAAACATCTGAGAACTAACTAGGGATTGAAAACATCAGTTAAAAACTTTATTGGATTTTTATATCGGTTGGATATCAAAAAATTATTGTTTAATTCATCCCTTCGTAAATGTGATTTGTAATAAATATTGAATGATACCTGTTTATCTAAAAATGTCTAGATTGATTACCTCGATAACAAAATTTCAACTGACGAAACTCGTAATACTATGTAAAGTGAATGCCATTTATCTTGTTTATAAAGTAGTGCTCATATCATGACCACCTCTCTTATCTGATCTCTGTAACAACTAGATGTTGATAAGTAATTGACCACACACCTGTCTGTAAAACCATCGGTCTGTTGATCTCTCTAATCCTCACCTGCCTTAATGCATGGGTACTTATCTGATAACTTGTATGTGAAATCGACATATCTAAACACATTGTGTACTGATCAGTTTCCAGTCACACTATTATTGATAATATTTGACTTGTTAAGAGAAATAACCGACTATTTCGGGAGTTTGTTGT